ACTCGAAGAGAAGCATAAACCACTAATACAAAATAAGAAAAGTGAACCCCACGGATTTGGAAAAGAAATCCACAAATATTTCTATCCAAAACTATTTCTAAATTTGCTGTCATTCATAGAATTATTATCAATATTTAATGAGGCATGAGAAATGAATTTAAAAAATCGATATAACGATGGTAAAGTGATGAAATTAATTGTCACAAAAATTTGTGTCGCCTTTGTACAATGGATTATTAAATAGCAATAAAACCAGAATGCGTAGATAGTAAAGAGTTATACCGATCGAAACTCGTGGTATACCTCAGCAATATACGCGCATGATTTTCTAATGTAACAACGACTCTATATGCATGGAGAATGTAAAGGCCCGGAGTTTGCAAGTCGCAAGTGACCCTCAACGATCGATGATTTTTTTCCTACAATAATATTCAGTAACCCCAGATAAATTGCGAGCTTTCTTTGCATTGCTCAACGTTTGCATATAAAAAAACTATTGGGAAGTTCCGTTTGTCGTCATATGGCATAGCAATTTTTGCTGATAGATTAGTAATACGCTTCCGAATGATCATTTTGCACATCATTTTCTTCAATCGTACATGAATCATCGCTTTATATTAATTGTTCAATTGAATTATATTTCTTATTTGATGAATTGTGTTGGATTTCATGTGAAAATTTTTGTATAAATAAAATGAAAAAATGAGGGTATTTATGTTATCTTGAAACTGGCTTTCGAAAAACTCTTTTTCATGCATGACTGAACGAATTTGAAATGTCATATAGCTATTGTAATGATTTTTCAACTTTGAAAGGGTGAATTTGAATCAAATGCTTTAAGCTATAATTGAATTAATTTGAAGAATTATATGCAAAGATATCCCCGGAATTCTCATTTTCAACGAATACTAACTTTTTGAAAATTAAATTATAGATTCAAATGATTTTTGCTGTAGCCTTCATCTTCAAACTCGGTCAAAGAGACATCGAGGCAACGTTTTTTATCATTTTTAGTGACACATTCAATTAAAAAAAAAAAATTTTAATTCTAAAAATTAGTGCATAAGGCTACACTGTTCAAAATTTTTGTCTGAATTTCCGTGCCAAATTACGAAAATTGTTATCGTGTTCAAGTTCCACTGACATTTCAGGAAATTTTATCATTGAAAAATCAAATATTCCATTGATTTTCTGTTCAAATGATCTGGGAATCAATAAAAATTGAATCAAATCAGAAAAGTTGAAAATTCATGTCATTTTGTTTCTGAATCGTGTTTCACTGAAAATTTAATAAAGTTGTGAAATTTCCATCTCATTCCCACTGAAAACTCATGAATTCCCGGGAATTCTACTTAAAACTTGAAATTTCATAGCCTTTTTTCCCTAAATCCGATTCACTGTCATTCTCATGAGATTGACTATAATATCTTCCATGAAATTTCAAAAAATTTCTAACAGTGTAGCCATCGAACCAACATTTTTTTTATTTCTGGTGACACAACCAACTTTCAAAAAAATTTTAAAATTCTAAAAATTGATGCATAAGGCTGACAAATGCCTACATTTGAACAAAAAAAACAAAAGATTATATTTCATTTATTTATTGACGAACAATTAAAAACAAACTTGGTCGTATGCATAGTTGCAGTTACGAACTATTTGGATCACAATGAGTTGATATAACACAAAAAAATGAAAAACTGAAATTTGAACGATTACAGAGCTTCCATTCGATAGCAAAGGGGAAAAAAACTACTGGAAAAATGTCGCCAGAGATATTACTTGTAAAAAAGGGCCATCGAAATTTGTTATTTTTTTATTGTGAACGAGATCTTTTTTGAGGCCTATTAGCAGTGTCAAGTGACGGGCGAGGAAGTGTATCGTGTTACCCTCCCACGCATCCTATCAAGTGGATCCTGTGGGGCACAATGGAGGGGCCAGATAAATAATTGGCTCGTCCTCAAAGGGCACAGGTAGCGGAGAGAATCTTCTTGAGACCCTTGAGAAAACGCAACGAGTGTTTCGATTTCGAGAGTGACACTCGATACATTTGGATCGGATGTACATGACAAAAAATTCTTCTTAAAAAAATCCTAAACATTTTCATCAATGATTCTCACGCAGGAAGATCAGACTTGTCTCGATTCAAAAAGTAAGGTGCATGAATCACGAAAACTATCTCCGATATTTTTTGTCGAAAGGAAGTTCCACGGGAATTTCAGGGATTTTTGTCATTGAAAATTCACTATTTGAAGAAAAAAATCAAGAAAAACTGTCAATTTTAATTCAGTTATTCTTGAAAAAAGTCTAAATGACTTAATTTATTGCATTCTCATAAGTCATTGAGGTTTTGCTGTCCTCATAAGTTGTTAATGAAGGCAGAAAATTAATGAATTCCAAATACGATAATTTTTTTGTAAAATTTCATAGTTAACAGTTGTTCCGATATTCAACTCTAAAAAATGGAAATCTCGCGAAATCATAAATATTCATAATCAAAAATAATTTCTAATTTGATTCCGACAATTATTGTTGCCTTCATCAACAACATATGAAGATAGAAAAACTCAATCACTTATGAGAATATAATAAATTAAGTCATTTAGAATTTTTTCCGGAAATCCATCGGAACTAACTTTTGGGTGGTACACGAACAGAAAAAACTAATTTTGATAAAAAAAGTTCAATTGATACAAGAAAGATTCTCTTATCTTGAGAGAATTTTTAAGCGTTCTCAAGACTAGAAATGAAGTCCTTCCCATAAATTCATGTAGTTTGCTTTACATCGAGAAATTTTTTCATCAGGACTTTAATTAGATAAAATCTTGCACGCTCGGTGGCCTGGCGCAGTGCACTGATAGAAAAGGTGGAACGATTCATTTGCACCAAACGAGGCTTCTTCACTGTCACCGCGATTCGTTAATAGTTAACGAATCGTGGTAATAGTTAAAAAGTCTCGTTTGGTTCGACTAAACCGTTCTATCAGTGTGGGTAAGTTCGTTGCCTCACATGCGAAAGGTTCCGAGTTCAAATCTCGGTCGGGTAGAATGGTGCGATCTAACCATTTAAAGTCTTGATCATCATCGCAGTATACCCTAACCGGGTCGCAGCGATGTAAAATAACGATTAAAAAAAATAAAAAATAAAATCTTGCACAAAGAGCACAACATTTAAGATAAAAGTGTTCGTCGTGCAATCGAAACAAGAATTCCTCAGTTGGAGATGATGACTGATCAGATCGGGAAAGTATGAATTCTTGCAATCCATTAAATTCTAAATATGACGCAAACGGTATGAATTTATGGGAAGACTTATGCTAACACTTAAAAATTTCTTCTTCTCTCAGACTTCTTTCTCTCCGAGTGTGAGCACAAAATTATTTACCAGGAGATTTCGCGACTCTAGAAATTGACACGAGAATATTTTATTGTATCAAGGAATCATCTTTCTCAAAAATAATTTTTTCTCTCACTGTATCCACCAAAAATGAGGCCCGCCTCCAATCATACAAAAGAAATAAATTTTCATATTTCTGTACAAACTCTAATATTCTGCGGTTGTTTCGATCGACCGCGATTGCCCATGCAGACGCCAGTTGCCCGCACAGTGTCGTGACTCCATATTCCGAATATGAAAATAAGTCGACAAAGGAGAGTGAACCGGAGCGTAAAAAAAATGAGAGACACAGAATAACGATAAAAATGAGTGAACCGAACGAGGTAAAACCTAAGCGAGAAGGGCCACATCACGCACGCACGTGTGACGTTCCCGTCGACGACATCACCCTTCGCTAGTTTATGTTCCAAGCCGCGGCATTGGCCTAGCCCCGCAACAACCATACTCGGTAATAGGCTTTTCACGAAGATTAATTTCGACGGACTCTTAGCACACAGAGAGCAAGAGAGACAAACCCCTTCAGCACACTTAGTTAATATATCCAACTTCTCGTTGGTTTTTTATTATTACACTGCGGATTTTAATTACTTTTTTTTCTGTTTGAAACCCGTTCTACTCGTAAATCACTCGGTGACTCTCGGCGGCATTGCTTTGCAGTCCCCGCGCGCCCGTCATAAAGCCAAACGACCAGGACTGAGGAGAAATATCCAAACGGGGGAATAACAAAATAACGAGTAATTTCTTTTTTTTCCCAACAGTTTAGGAAACACGTGTTTTAGGGAGAAGTGGAGGGACTGTGTCTATCTTGTCCATGTCAAAATATTGAGACTGTAAATCCGGGATCATCCGAGGGGATAATCCCGAGTGATAAAAATGTATTATGGTCATTGTCGTTGAGTGAAGCAGGAAATGGTTTTGTTGAGTGACTGAATCGCCCAACAATAGCGTAAAGAGAGCATTTAATCCCGCGACAAACAAGCTATTATTCTCCAGTTCAACCTAAAAATACTCATTCACTCAATAAATCGAGAATGATTACCTCCAAATGGGGGTATTTAAATTTTATGTAATAGGAGAACAACCGAATGCATCTAATTAAGAGTTCCCGTGGCGTTAATTTCCACTCTCGACCGCAGGTGTAGGGCCCCGAGCCCAGACGTTGACTCAAAGTAGGTCGAGATCTCATCTAAAACCTCCTAGAACAAAGACCCCTGAGTGGCCAAAGTGTCCGCTAATTTGTTCGTTTAAACTCATCGACAAAGATCTTGATGTTATCCGGCGGGTACACGGGTGTGGGAGGTGCCCCCGGGAGAGACGACAGTGGCAGTCATTTCAGTAGCACCAGATCCCTCAAGATTAGAAGAAGAAAATGTCTCCTATACCTGTTCCCCCAGAGGGATTACGATCTCTATCGTTCTGTCAGAGGGGCCCAATCGACATCATCCAATTGACATTCTGATTCCTCACCATCAGATAACAAAACCCGGCACCGCGATAATCCGTCGGCTGCTGCGTAATCCCTCTTAATTCTCAAAATTCCCTCAATCACTAGTTCTCTCGTGCCCGTCATATATTCCTCCCTTAATTCTAATAATGACACTCACCACATGACCGTGAACCGGTGACTTGGTGATAGACTGTAGCTGAGGATATAGCTGACCAGCCGCAGCTGGGGTCATGTCCGTCAGCATCTCGAGAGCCTCCGTGCTTCCTCGCCTCCGTCTCTTTAATTGACAGACAATTCAAGGGTTTCAGAAACAACAGAGAACTAGGAAAATTGTAAAACCGACGGTGTAACTCTACAACAATTACACTTGACGATCACAACAGAAGTGTTTTTTCACTTGTCAGTGAGATAATAAACACGAGTAACACAGCGTTCATCAAATTTTTTTCAGTAAATAATTTAAACAAAAATTATTACGGCCGCAAGGGCCAACACGGCTCTCCGTGTTTTCTCGCTGGTTTTTGCCAGTTATGCCTCGCGGTTTTATTATTTCGCTTTTTTTTTGTTTATCGATGGTGAGGAACGATTGTTAAACCGGTTAAATACGTTGTTCCCGCTCTTCGCGCCGTGACAGACTGCCGGCGCAACCGATCGGGTTCTCAGCCGGCACGAAGAACCAGTGGGGAGAGCAGTTTCGAACAGAAGGAGAGGGTAAGGGAGAACTACTGCCGGTAGAGCCCCTCACTGTTGTTGCATAGCTCTGTCTCCCTCTGCTCGCTGTATCAGAGATATGAGGTTAAAAAAAGGGGGCTGTTCTGGAGAGGGGCGGTACGGGCCACTATCTGTCGACGCCCACAGACCGCCCACATGCCGTCGATTCCCCTTGGCGTTTTCTCTTTATTCCCCTCCACTCGTCCATTCATTACCCCCCACCCATGTCATTTCTGATATCAGCTGGGTGGGAGAGGGGGGAGAGTCAACTGTGATATGCGTGCGCAGGGGATTTCAAACGTATCACCCTTTACTACTCCCCACCGTTTCGTCTTCTACAACCCTTCTTCTTTTTTTAGTCTTGTGTTTTGTTCTTTCTTTGCTGTTTTGCTTTGTCTTTTTTCATTTGGTTCTTTACCAACGCTCACCGCGGAATTTATTGCTCCTTTTCTCGACGTCTTTAAAGCATTCTGCGGGTCTCGTATGTTCTTTCGCTTCCTCTTGTTTTCTCTTTTCTAGTGTCTGTTGGAGGTTGAGGGAAATGGCTCAACGTTTGAGCGGACAGGGTGGAGATCGGTGACGGGAGACACTGGTGACTCTGGGTTTTCGCGAGACCCGGGGAAGTTTAACATTGGGGCTATTTTTTTGCGTCCAGTTTTTACGAAATTTGGGATTTAAGGGTGTCCATGTAGCTTTGACCATTTTCGATTATCAAATTTGCCAATTAAATTGCGTGAGGGAAATTTGAAGAAATCATGAATATTCAGTGGCATTGCAATACATTTTGCAGAGAATTATTGTTTTTTTGAACATTCGGTGTTTATAAATACATAATTGAAATTATTTAACGATTCGGAAAACTCATTTTTTTAGGCCTGAATAAATTTTTTCGGTTCCGAAAAAATGAGTTTTATTGTGGAAAATTGGTTGTTTGTAAATTACTTATAAGAAATGCTCGTAATTATCAAAACTTGCAATTTTTAAATTATTTCATCAATCTTCCTCCAAAAATAAATTTTCTAATTTTTTTTTCAGATTTTTGAAATATTTCTTAACGCTTGAATATCGAAATAAAAATTCACACCTGTAAAATTTGAATAATAAAATCATTGTAAAATGTCTGGCAACTTGGGGTTAAATGAGACTCAAATGAAAGCTCTCATGTTTGAGTACAAAAGTTCAAAAGCAAAGGTACTGGAGAAAAAATAGCCAAAGTACTTGGATCGTCAATGACCGCGTCAAGGCTGCGGATGGGAAACTGACTGCGGGGAGAGATGCTTTGAAGACAGGATGGAAGGTAAGAAGATCTCTGGGATCATTAAATCGTCGAATATCTTAATGATATGTGGGATGGTTTTTAAGAAGATGGGACAAAAAATAATATGTTGATTTGGTTCTGTAAGAAGTTGTTGGGATCTCACTTATAAGCCACCTAATGTGTTTTTAATCGGAGAGTTTGAATTTCAAATGCCATCGACTTGGCCTTATAGTAGAGAAGAAACGCGTGTGTGACTCACTTATAAGTTTCTGGGAATAGGTTATGTACGGGGATTTGTGGAGGGCGCGCGGCTCAATTACGATACGCCTGATGGCCGTCGGGCCATTGGCGTAACTGGATAGGCGTCGGTATCTTTTCCATTATTTCACCATTGAATCGTTAATTGCAGTTGGCGATTTTCAATCGATTAAATTGTCAAGCGTGGAAAACCGGGAAAAATACAACCGGATTTTTCTATTCATCTTTTATGCGGGGGAGAGAATAATATGTTGCTCTGTTCTGGTGGCACACGTGAATAACTTTGCGGTGTGTCTAGAGTGGTGGTGGTATTTATGAATGAATTGTGGGCGCCAGTTACTGGGAAACTAATGATTGTAGATGAGGGGGAGCGAGGCATTGGTATAGGTTACGCCACTGCGGACAGGTATCTATGCAGACGCACGATCCCGGATCCATTAGGACCTAATTTTGGATAATGAGAGGAGACTGGTGGCGCCACTCGGAGATCCATAAAGTACCTGGATAGTTCATTCATATTTTTTGAGAAATATATTTTATGCCACTCATGCCTGAAACCGGCTGAATTAGACACGAGACGCGAAGCGTCGAGGCTTCGTGACATAAAATTTTGTTCAGTACTTGTTGGGAAATTTCGTCCTTAACGTGTGTGGTTACATCACTCGCCTTCGGCTCATGCTGTAAACCCCACACACGTTAAAGACGATATTACCCCACATGTACTGAAATATACTATTCCTATGGAATGGAAGCCTGACTTGAATCAAGTGATGGGCTCTCAGATCGAGAACATGTCTAAAACCAAGAACGCTTTATAAAAATTGTTTTAAGGTCCTTCCTCAGTGAGTTATATTTCGTGAAAATTTCGCAATGAACTGAAAACCTAAAAAATCTATCAATCTGATGAATAAAATCAGTATTCAAAAAATGTTTCAATGCACACTTAAATAGTTGCTTCAAAATTTGAAAATTTCGGGGTCAGCGATTGAATCAGGGCTTGAGAACAATATAGTACATTACATGTCCGAGCCTCGGAAAACAGATCACCGTCCCCCACGTGCAAGATTGCCTTCCCACACTGATAGAATGATTCATTTATTCCAAACGAGATTCGTTAACTATTAACGAATGGTAGAGTTGAATATGACTAAATGAATATTCGTTAATAGTTAACGAATGGTTCACTTGAATGGCGAAAGTCAAGTCAAACAAGGCTCCTCAAATATACATTCGTTAACTATTAACGAATGAACATTTGGTCAGACCGAATAGACCTTAACCTCCAACCAAAACCCGTTCGTTAACAATAACTAATCCGTTCTATCAGTGCAGCCGAAGGCGAGGATGGTAAGTACGTGGGGGAGGGTGATATGTTTTCCATGCCGAGGTGTGTGTATTAATTTTCAGGTCCCGTGACACGAAAAGTTCGTTCCTTTCCGTTTCATATCTGCACAGAAAGGTCGATTTTCCTCCCCAAATGACGGGAGGAAAGTGGCTCATTTCATTTCTCAGATTTCTACGGTTTTAGAAGATTTTCGGAATGACATAACGCACACTTCTCCCTTTCATTTGCAAAGAAAAATTGAATTTAACCGTGCATTTATGACAGAAAATGTCGTGTGCACTCTAACCCTGGTGTTTACCTCGGCTTTGCTGCGGGCGGTAATCCACACGCGGGTTAGAATGTCCTGTTTTCCTTCCTTGGTGCACAATCTACTACACTGTTAGAAATTTCCTGAAATTTCAGTCACAGCTTCATCTGAATTCTCAATGTTTAGAGTTTTCATTTAATTTCAAATGAAAATGTTCATGAAATTTCTCATTCATCTTGAAAATTCAAGAAAATAGAGTTTTTAATGTTAAGTGATCACTGATATTCCAATGAAAGCTTGAAGTTTCAAACTCATTGTGAAAATTAAATCTCAAATACACTAGAATTTTCAACAGATTGAGAATTCAGACAAGTTTTTGCCTGAATTTTCCCAATATTCAACATTTTTCAGAGCCGCATGGATCTGAGCATCGAGAATTACTTGAATATTCACGAAATTAACTGATTCGTGAATAAAGAAATATACAGGAATTTCATGTAACTTTGTCGTTGTTAAAGATTTCAAGCTTTTTCACTTGAAATTTCGAGAAGAACTTTCAAACGGTGTATTTTATCAAACACGATTGGCCCCTTAATCTCGAATAGCATATTTCTATCCTCGGAAGGTAAATAAGCGAGTCGTGCTAGGGAGGTAAGATAAAGGAGTCGTGCACACGTGCGGAGTTGGTAGGTAAAATACCGGAAAAACGACTGTCTGAATTTCACAAACCTTTTGTAGACATTTTTCAGACATCAAAAAACGTCTGAATAATATGAAAATTTGTCTGATTTTCAAAGATGAATTAAGATGTTTGGGCATCTGTTCGTCTGAACTTCAGACACCGTTTCATTTTATTCAGCCGTTTTTTAGTGTCTGAAAAATGTCTACAAAAAGTGTGTGAAATTCAGACATTTGTTTGTGCCGTGGAGTCCTTCATGTTACCTCCTGTAGTTAGAATCGCATGTTCCGCCTCGGCGTAGGCGCAAAGTCAGAGTCAAAGCGTCAGGTCAAAGTCAGAGAAACGTGTACTTTGCGCCCGCCGGTGCGAAAAAGATTCTTGTCCACATTGCACATCAGAGGCAAGTGATAAGAAAATAAATGAAGATACATTAATCGCGTTACCTCTACACCCCAGCCCTGACACAAGGAGCGCATTGATGCGAAATAAAAGGCGATGATGCGGACATCGCGTGCTATCCCTCCACAAAAGAGTGGTGTACGCCGATCCCCGGGTGTATAAACTCCTGCCCGTCGGATACCAGGGGGGCGGGTGTGAGTGTAGCTACGTGGCCGGGCGCGAGAAAAGGGATGTTTTACAATGAACGGTGGATATTAAACGCCCACCACCACCAGGGCACCTCTTCCAATACCTCAGGATTCATGATCGTATGTCATTGTTATTGCATATTGTTTATGGTAACAAAAAAGTGCGTCGAACAACGAAAATACATAAAAAATAGATTTGATGTATTGGATCGCGTGATGAAGGCAAAAGAGAAAACACAATGAACAAAGGTGAATAATCTCGAATAATGCTCAGTAAATCATCATTTCTTGATTGAATCCTGTTTGAAACAGACCGGAAAAACGGCGCGTAATTTCTATAATTTTATTTTTTTAATTATTATTTTGGATGATTCACTCATTTAACACGCGTGATCTATACTTATCGGCTTCTGTTGAGCCCTAAAAGAGCGTTGTCGATCGACTTTCAATGATGGATCGTTGATTGGCAGACGGTCAGAGGAACTTTGGCAAGAGGGGTTGAAAGGGAAATGGGTAACGGGGGCGGATAATAACAGG